AAAAAAAGTTGAATGAAAGACAGCTTGCGCACTGGATGGTGAGGACAGTGACAACCATTGAAACTCTTCGAGCTTGAAGTTAACAGGGTTGGGTTTGGCTTTGGAACAGGTCACTCTGCTCCAGGGTGAAGTGGAAGGGGCACCCCTTCATTATGCTTACCAAGCATCTGCCACTTCCCAGGCACTGCTCATGAAGCCGAGGGTACCTGGGTAAACAAGGCTCAGTACCTACCTGAGGAGAGGCAATGGCACTGCAGTGGTACAATCAGGGAAACTCGGGATCCTGTTGGTATTTTACACCCTCCACGGTATTCACACCCCTGCCGTCGCTCTTGCCACAGTAGGCTGCCAACATCGTGTCTCCTTTCTTCTGAACCCAGCACAAGGTCTGCTCATGGTGAATGCTCAGTGACAGCCTATGGCGTCATTTCTGTGTGCCTAATTACCTCAGAGTCTGGACTATTGTACATTCTCAGTACAATTTTAAAGGTTCTGTTTGGGAGTGAGGAAAGAACAGAGCTAGAGATGATGTCACACCTAGATGTTGTCACTGGGTGGCCGGCACTGTCTTGTACAGATGAGGGATGTGAGGATTGATGTTTGGGGTGGGCAGGACTTAAGTATTTGTGTTTTCACATGGTATTTGTCCCTGTGTGGCAGAATCTACTAGTCCAAGTCTGGTAGGCAGTTGCCTACTTGAGTCTGCTGCCAAGAGAAGCAGTCTTGGTGTAGGTACAGATTTGGCATCGTCAGCATTTAGAAGATACTTGAAATAACCTTAGAGAAGAGGGTCTGTGGAATGTCCACAGTGAGAGAGGAAGAAACAGCTACTGGTTGAAGCAGGGTGAAAAGTGAAGGGGAGGTGAGAGGCATGAGGTGGGTGGTCAGGAATGCACATTAGGTGTCTCTGGCTGTGTGGGCTGTCGTTCAGTGAGAAGAGCTCAGGTTTACAGAGGACTGTCTCTGTCTCACACTGATTGTATGACATGGGCACTGGTTTTTGTCCTTGTTTTACCAGTGAGAAACTTGTCTCTGTACAGTTTGTAAAATACTGTCTTTTGAGGTGGGAGTGGAAGGTGTGGCCGTGAACATAGCTGTAGTAAAGAGATGACATAGGGTCCACCACCTGAAGAGGATTTGGGTGGGGACAAGATTACAACCCCACGGTGAAGCAAGTGACAGCCAGGTTGGTGGTGAGTAGAGAAGGATGTAAGTGTGTCCTTGGGCCCTGCTCTCATCAGCTCCTTCTCTCCTCAGTCCAGGAAGAGGAAGAAATAGATTTGGAAACTTCCCGTCATTTTAACAACAGCCTCTTCTTGAACTTCCCAGACAGTGACAAGACCCCCTACACACACACCTACCCCAGGCTGAACAGCCAGGAGCCGGGAGCCAATGGCCAGCGACAGAGCCAAACCCTGTGAGCTCGACCAAGAGAAATATGATGCTGATGACAACGTGAAGATCATCTGCCTAGGAGACAGCGCTGTGGGCAAATCCAAGTATGTTGGGAGATGAGGGAAGAAAGACCAGTCCC